ATCTGAACCCTACTTATAACATTTGGTATAAAGAAGAAAAATGAAATAAAGTTTTCAACCTAATCAGTAATGTTATACAATGACATGATTTGCTAAATTGACTGCAGTACATATATACATACATACAAACATACATACATTGCATTCAGTGGATCCATATGTTAGTCAGATGACAACAGGATGTGGAATAAGTCTTAATAACACAATACATATTACAAGTACAATTCATACTATTTTAAAATGTCACATATACTCAAAAACATGAAGTACATAAAACAAAGAGTACATAAAAAATAACATTCCTGTCAAAATTAAAAGTATAAAAGAAACATTGTATTGCCAAATATTTACAGACGCATCTTCAAGGGTCATTGATAAGTTTATTTACCATGATATCACCATTCTCATTCAAAATAAACTGTAATAAAACCAGTGCGTACCCCAACTAAATGCAAACAAAAAATGTAGGAAATACTAAAGACATACTGAACTGTCCCAATGAGAAGTATAATACTATTATGGTTACCATTTGTATAATAAATTCTCAATACTGGTAATCTATAGCCCATGGAATCCATGGGAGAAGTAGCAAACAGCAATATATTTCACTTAAAAAAATGGCATCATACTTAGACACAACACAAAAGAGCTAATCACAACAGCATTACACTATTAATAATTCATTAGTAATTATACATTTAGAAACAGCTGGAACTACACCATACCCAAAATATGTTTATTAGGCAATTAATATACCAACTAAATTACTATAAACATAGACTTCAAACACTTAATACACTATTCTCCATATATATATACATATTCAGATTACTTTTCATGAATAAATAAATTACAAACATACCAACAAAAAACTATATAGAAAATTCACAGACATGAATACTATAATTTCTTGGGAAAATAAAGTCATCAACAGAGTTATGTGTCTACCCAGACTATCAACAAATAAAATAAGAACATATTTTACATGACAAAGTAACAAACATGACAGCAACACAGCTAGACTGGGAGCTTCTTTCAGCAATTATCAGGAAAACTAATAGATACTATCAGTATGCTTCTAAAACTTACAATTCTTGTCCAAAATTGTTGCCAGTCATATCAAAATTATAAGTGCTTTGAGGTGCACCCCAATAAGCATCACCATGCTCCGGATACGCGGATCTATCACCATTGCCTGACATTGCGTCCGTTCTGAAATAAAAATTATTTACACAGCACAATACAACAATACTATAAAAACTTTCACTTTTGCCCTTGTACAATTTTTACATTATGACACGGCACTACCACTCTAATAAAATCAAGACAAATGCTCTAACATAACCCAACTTAACTCAAATGTCACAAATAACATACCGATTATTACACAAAAGTAAAATATTTCCTGTACAGAAACGTTTGTTTATTCAGTACGTGGCTGGTTTAAAATACAAGAGTATTTTACTTTTCAATAAATGAATATTATAAATATTCCCACACTAAACACAAATCCACGAAAATCAATAACCACAGATCACTACATGATCCTTCAAACCCTAGATTACCATTTTGGTATTCTGTGTTAAGAACACAGATGGTTGCAAATCTATGACTCTCTGGTATCACACGTGCTCTGAGCGCCTCTGTTGTCATCTGGCAAAACTACCCAGTTCTTTTTCCGGTTGATGTAGTACGTGGAAAGGTTAGAAACTGTGGCATTGGTTTTATAATCCTGATTCATCTGTTACATTTTATGTACAATTTCAAAGTGAGTGTCAGTTATAAGTTCAATGTTATGAAAACGTTCTTAGTTTTGTAATATGTATCAAGTTTCTATTCGTAATATATGATCCATGTGTTTTGTATTAGCTTGAATGTTGTTTATTAAGATTTGCGTACAGACATGATTTTAATAAAGAGTAGTATTTTAACGGAGAAGTATAAAAAGTGTGCCATTTCTACCTGTTGCAGAGAATTGTTTGGTGCACTTTGTACTTTAAAGTTCTCGTAAAATAATTGCCTTTTTATGCTGACTGTATTACAATAGTGGCTTTCCAGAAATAAAGATATTGCAATAAAGTCACATACAACGTATCCTTTAGTATGTATTGTACAAGGCTAATTTCACATTCTGAACATCATTGTTCTTGGAATGCACTTCTCTATGCAAAACAGCTGAGAACATTTCAGAATTGTGTATCCCTTTGGACTAAATACTAAGGATGATTTCATCAATCTACGTCTGAATTTTCACATTGAGAAACTGTACTGTTGCATTGTGAGGAGCACTTGGTCTGTATGTGTTGTCTTGTTAAATCAGGTTATTAAAAATTGCCATCATAGCTGTTAATTAGAGGCCTCTGAACCTTGTATTTTACCGTGCTTAATGCATTTCTTGTGGTTTCAGGATGAAGCAGATTGTAACAAACCAGACTGTAAAAATCCCCAAAGAAGTCACTGTGTCAGTTAAGTCTCGACTGGTGACTGTGAAGGGGCCACGTGGAGTATTGAAACGGAACTTTAAACATCTTGCTTTAGATATTCATGTATGTTTGATTCAAGAGATTTAAAGCTCCCCTTATAATGTTTTTCATCCGTTCTTACAAGATTTGTTGAGTTTTGTGTTAAAGTTTGTGGAAAAACTGGGGTTTTCAGTTTGTAATGTCGACCTTGTATGTGATACAGTCCTAGAAATTTTTTAATTGCAAAATGACGTTACAGAATGGTGGGTAGATTTACCTTTCTCTCATTGTTACACTGTTTTAATGTGTATCAAGTTTTTTAGGTATTTTGTCATTTTTGTTAGTATGAGTTTCATCACAGGTTACTTTAATTTTTATTACATCACAGGATGAAAATTTCAGTTTTTATGAGAGCACTAATCTGTTGTAATGGAATTACTTTTAGTATATAATATAGTCGACTACTTCATATGTACATTTATATGCTTTTTTCCTTAGATGGTTCATGCGAAACGTTTGAAAGTTGAAAAATGGTTTGGGACCAAGAAGGAGCTAGCAGCTGTGCGCACTGTTTGCTCTCACATTGAGAACATGATTAAAGGAGTAACCAAGGTATGGACAGAACTGTGCACTTCACAGTTCATATATCTGTGGCCATTCAATGCACATACCAAGTGTCTTTTGGTATTTGTATTATTCATTTTTCTATTGAAGTAAGAAAATAGCAGAACTGCATATTATCTATTCTACATTTGTACACAATTTCACCTCATTAATAGGAGGGCTTGTATGTGTAATACAAGGTCCCTTGCTGTTGTCTTTACAAATGAGGAAGAGTGAAAGTGGCTGTTTCCACTCTGTGAAGTCCAATGCATGACTTGAACAGAACTATACTGCCAGACAGACTGATATTTAACTTTCAGATGTGCAAATATCTAAATGTTATAACGTGCGTCGTCCTCTCTGGTGGTTTCTGCCATCATATCGGTGCGCATTTACCATCACCATTATGCATGCAGTTCATAAGTCATATTTTCTATTTACCTGTTATTTTGTTAGAAATTGTATAGAATTTAGAATAAACATATCAGGATTATCTTCTGGCTATTGATGTGATCTTTCCTCCACAGGGTTTCCTTTATAAGATGCGCGCTGTGTATGCTCACTTCCCAATCAACTGTGTTACGACAGAAAACAACTCAGTGATTGAAGTCCGCAATTTCTTGGGAGAAAAGTTCATTCGCAGAGTGAAGATGGCGCCAGGTGTGACTGTTACTAATTCTCCTAAGCAAAAAGATGAGCTTATCCTCGAGGGCAACAACATTGAGGATGTGTCAAGATCAGGTAAAGATTATACAAGGATATGTACAGCGATAAATGTATGGCTTCAATGTTCGTTGTAATGACTTTTTTCCCCTTGCAGTGTGTGAAGAAAATATTTTCTTTTGTATTTTATTGTTAGATTATTGATATCACATTATCATACATGAAGTTTACAATATTAAAGGAATAATATTTTGTTCCATTATCTCATTTATTGATTCAAAATAGTAATAATTTTAATTTTATTCTTTTTTACCCTCTACATTTGGATTCTTGTGAAACAGTGAAATGTGCACAGCAATACAGCTCGATATAAGAATTTGACTTGAGCTGTAGCATTTGTAGTTAAATTATTATTCCCTTATTTCAGCCGCCCTTATCCAGCAGTCGACGACGGTGAAAAACAAGGACATCAGAAAATTCCTTGACGGACTCTATGTCTCTGAGAAAACTACTGTTGTACAGGATGAATAAAGTGGTTTGCTAATAACTACTTTGAATTGTGAATATGTAATTTTGTTTACCCATTTCCTAACATTTTTCTGTCCGCATAATTTAACTTTGCACCTTAATGAAAAGAGGTTTTGAGGTAAGTGTATTGTGGTGGGGTGCGATTTTGTCTGTGGATCTGTGCTCACTAATGGGCTTGTCCTGCCCCTAAAAGATGCATGATTGAGCAGTGGTGGAATGACTTTGGTAAGAAAACCAAAGAACTGGCAGAAAGCCTGTTGTGGTGCCTCTATGTCAAATCCCACATGGACTGCCTTGGGTACAAACCTAAGCCTCCATTGCAAGAAGGCAGTGACTGCCTGAGCTATGGCATGGCCTGCGAGGCGTACCAATGGTATGACCACCATCTTGCAGAGTTTTGTGTCTGTTGAATACCTGCTGTGCTGCCACACTATTGCATAAACCAAACTCATGTTATGCCTCCTTTTTACATTTAGCTAGTTCCAGGGTATTAACAGTTCTAAAGTTTAACAGCATCTGGAAAGCATGGAGTTATATGAAAATTCAGTGAATGCTGGAATTAGTATATACCAAACTTCATAAACAAAACTGAGTATGTTCATACCAAATTTTGTGAAAATCAGAAAATTTGTTGAAGAACCTGCCCAAGTGGGGGGAGAGACATTGTGGTAACATCATAGTTCTGATTTTATCTACAAGAAAGGAAGGTAGCGTAGAACAAATATTTTATGATTTTCTTGCCTTTTATTCTTAAGCGGGTATAATCCTGTTTATTTGAATATCAGTAACCTGTAATGTGATTCAGGGAATTTTACTTGCCTTCATAACAAGAAGTAAATACTTTCAGGGGTGAATAAAATCATAAAACAACATTAAAAATATATTTGCTTTTATTTCAACATATTCTAAACCATTCACCCTGTAATCATAACACATTCATACATGGCAAGTTATTTTATCTTTTGTAAAAAAGACTTACGTCACTGTTAATTTCTGTACAATAATTATGTCCTGAGTCAATTTTTGTAAATATTTACATAAAGTTAATAAAAATAAATAAGACTGATCCTGCCTTCTGCACATTTGTTGCGAAGTAGTGATTACTTTACCCCATTCAAATTACACAAGTAGCTTCTTTTAATGACAAATATAGCATAACTTATTTACTTCAGCAATGCTCCAATTTACTTTATTCCTTGGACCATCCATGACATTTAGTGCATAAACCAAAAGGTCACTAATATATGCTAGTGGATTAGGGCACAGGCCTTTCCCTTTCAAAATTAATTACATTTATTCAACAAATAACTAAATATACTACAATTGATGTATGAAAATTATGCACAGGGCCCGATTCCTTGCAATCGTAAAATATGATGTAGGATGAACTCTTTTATTTCATAAAACAGGAACAATGTCTGATATTTAGATTTGAAGTGTAGGTAAATGATAGAACATCTTTCAAATATAAAATTTTTTGTTCATTCAAAATTATGGCATCATGATGTAAATTCAAAAAAACATGTCTGTATCCTTGGATGGCAACAAAACATCATTGCATTCATTTCTTCACTTAGGGAAGGTGAAATTACTGCTGATCATAATGAACAGTGTAATGATAATGAGTAGCTGCTGTCAAACTGGTTTTTGGATCAGTAACAGTTCATAATTCATTATTCTACTGTTCTAATGTTAGGTAGAATCATTACTATGTTCATACAGTTCATCAACTGAATTATCCACTTCATTAATTGGGTCCACTTCATCTATGGAGTAACTGGAAGGAGGGTTTCCACGAGTTTCAACAAGGTGTTCTCTGCTTTCTTCAGAAATGTAGTCTAGTGACTCAGCTACTCCTTCCTCTGGCTGAAGAAGGATAAGGCAACACAGAAAACACGTAAGAGAGCTTTCGTGACAAAGTGTCATTGAAAAAGTGCATAGTGCTATAGACCTTATACCATTTATACCCAAACAGATTAACACAGTAACATCTATGTAGTAAAAGCAGGACCAAAAGTCCCATGCATATTAACAAACAAAGTAAGAAATGACACAACAAAATAAAACAATACTGTACAGCTGGTGACAAAATCCTGTGGCCAAGTATTCTACAATATGGATATTAAAAATAAAGGCTTTTAATTTCACTCCTGCTAATATTACATGAAGGAATGTGCATAAAATGAAGGTATTTGCAGTGTGGGTTACATGTTTATGAGAAATGTGTATTACTAATTTACATCAATCATGGTGTTAAGACAAGAAAATCTTTTTAGGTTAGGAGATACATGAAGTTTACCTAAGTAAGATTTGAGATTTTCACAGCGGTAAGTATGAAGATTTCTGTCTTCTGGGTTGTTGCGCTATGTAGTCTGGTCGATGTTAACCAGACTACACAGCGCAACAACCCAGAGGACAGAAATCTTCGAAGTTGACCTACTTTTAGAATAAAACAGAACACAGTACATGTGTGCACAATACTATTTTGCCCTCACTCACATTAGCCCAGTATGCAAACATTTGGAACATTTAACCACTGCTATTGAATATGTTATTAGTAACACTTAAACTTCTACGCTACATGACATAATTGTGGTCTTCATTTTCAAGCAAGAAAAACTGAGTGATATAATAGAGAAGAAAACATTTCAATGCACATGATAAGTGTTCGTAGTAAATATCTACAAAGAAACCGGAATGCAACCGGAAACTAACATATAGCATCTCACTGTATGATATATTCTTAATCATTGCACTGATTACTATAAGTCAACAATAATAAATATATTAATTAGGTGCTATGTTGGTATGTTAAGATTTAAAGTATTTAAATATAGAAAGTTCATTCATGCATGCAAAAAGCACAGACCAAGCAAATGCAGCGGGGTAGGAAGTAGTAGCTGTTGTCACACTTGTGTTTACAAGGCATGCAGTCCATTATATGCTCCTCTTTGTATTTAACAACTGGTACAAAATGAACCGATGTACTTAAAATTAATTTCATAAATGCAATTTTAAGATGAAATTTGTTATTGAATATTTTTTTATGTAACTCATGTCAACAGATCAAAGGCTGAATGTGAGCTACGTGGGAAAAAAAAAACATGCCTTATCAACATTGACCTGGTTAAGCTGAAATGTATGTGGGAGAAAAAATTACAAGTACATTTACATAAAAGGATTTTAATACTGCTGAAAATATGTACTTTTACATGCACAAGCTATATTAGACTGAACAAAATACTGCATATACATGTAAGAATTGATGAGAAGTACAACGTAAGTTCAATATTTATGGTGTCACATTGACAAGACTCTTACATTTCTTTTAGACTGTTTTTGAACTGATGTATTAGATTAATATCTCACAGTATAATGTAAATTCAAACACAAGTAACAAAGAAAAGAAATGTTGCCAGGCTGTTAATTATGAATCTACATACTTTCCCCACTGTTTTAAAACAGTGTTCAATTTATAAAAATATTTCAATATACTATACAAAAATTTAAATGTAATACAAAAGTCAAGTCATATTAGCACAGTTTTTTGACATTAATATTTACAAACAGAACTGTAAATGTCAACCCTAGAGACATAGTATTACATAAAAAATGAAGAGTTACACCTACCACATCTTAGGTTAAAATTCTTGTTACCTATTTGATAGTGTTTTTTTTTTAATTTTATGATCTATTACACAACATAAAAAAATTATGTACTTAACTTCAAAGTGTCCTCATTTTCTTCACACATGATTTCTCAAAGTTAGTACTTTCACAAAAATATAACCCCGAAAGTAAATGGCAATTTAAATATTTCCAATGCTACATTTTAGTAATTTTCCTTGTGTGCTAAAGAGTTAAAAATGTAATGAAGTATTATTTGTGTTATATATTTTACACGATGAAAAAATGAACAGCTGCTTCAATTTGCTGCACAGAGTGATATTTTCAGTAGTGACTTGTTTAATTACCATTAAAAGCTTTGTCTTTTATTATCACAGAAATGAAACTTTAATTTCCTCATCTTTTAGATATAAAAATAGATCTACAAGACACGTATTATACTTTACATAGTCTGTGTTTTTAAACAATCAGAATTAACATTAATAATTACAGATCTATATCTGTACTATTTCACTTTATCATAAAAGCCTTTTTATTAGAAGTATTATAAACATAAAATTCCATGAGATTAGAGAGATTTAAAGAATTAAAACACTGGCAGAATTAGAAGATAAAGTGAGTAATATTTTCAAAATAAAAGAAAGTGGCGCCTGTATAAAATTCGATGTTACACTGTAATCTTGAAGGGTAGGTTACTGTAAATAAAAGTATAGGAAAGGGAAGTTAAAATTACATCTCCATTGGTGTCTTATTATAAACAAGTCAAGCAATACTACAACTTAAATATTATCATCACAATGGTAAAATATGACCACCCTCTTTAATGACTAAATTCCATTATACAGTAAGCCATCAACATTTGTCATCTAATTGGTTCCTTAAAAAGGGATGGGCATACTGAATCCTGTGTTAAAAAGACAATTCATTCTGGGGAAATCATATCATTGAATACTGAACTAACCTTTCGGGGTAAACAAGTACAAATATTTAGACTAGTTTAATAATTTATTAAACAGATACATATTTTATACATAGATATGCATAGAAATAAATTTTTAAAAAAATATATCATCACTACACTTGGCCTCTTAGCTTTCGTGACTGCAGACAGGGCCAATGATTTTATTGTAAATATAAATAAATTCAAGAAAAATCATCAGAGTACTACAGGCTTTTGAAACAACAGGAGTGTTGTCGGTAAAATGAAACCTGTAGCACAACTATATATATGCTCTGTGAAATCATATTTATGAATACCAGATGATTAAAAAATCAGCAGATAAAGAAATCCAATGATGGATACAGAAACAATGGTGGAAAGAGAAATCTAATAGATACAAGAAACTACGCATTCAGAGTCGACAGATGAGGGCTTACTGTATGTGATAGTAGTATAGTGTGTCGTGTGTACAGTTATAATTACAAGCCATATTGCATTAATTTCCCTTAAAGATCCCTGCTGCTGCCTGAGATTATTAATTTTATTATTGATGTTATATCCACATATTTTTGTAATGAATTAGGTAAATGGAGGCATACACATTAATAGCATTTGTTGTTTGAGCAGCTTTATATCAGAAAAAAGCATATATAACAACACAGTCTATCCCTAATTATGCGAAAGTCCCAAAACATGCAAATATCTGAATCCATGCGTTTTCGTTCCTTGGAAATTAAGGAAGAATAATTTACCGACAAACACATTTCTTCTGAATTTTTTACATTTGTGCTGCAATAACTTTAGGATCTAATTCATTACTTGGATGTGTTGTGTTATTAGCCCTGTTGGAAGACCAGCCAATTAAGAGTTTGTTAATGAATTCACTGTCACATCTGATCTTGCAATTTACAAATCTCTGCTTACAAATTAGTACATTTATTTATTTCTTCGTTAACAACACCGCAGATATAAAAACCAATTCCCATTAAGTGACATGTGATGATACCTTCAATATACTGTATATGTCAACATTAAATGCAATTTTGTTCATTTCCCTGTGAAATCACACAAAGCAATGGAAAAAGACATCTATGACCACATATTTCTTATTGTGGTGGTAGTCTAATTTACGGGTCCTCCAGGTTGGGGGTTGGGCGCAAGGCTAACAACCTTGCACTGTAAAAAGGAAGATGTTTCGAAACCTCAACCTCGGACAGACGGACCTAACAGAGGACCGAATGGAAGAGGAGAATTGAGGAGGCCATGGACCAAATACGGACCGGAGAGCCATAGATGAAGAAGAAGAAGTCTAATTTCCTCTGTTCCACACAACTGGCCTGCCAGCAGCAATACGGACTTGCTGTTAATAGTATTCAGCCAAGTCGCTATTATCACCCACCTGCTTAGGGATCTCATTGCCAAGACTTTCCTCGCTGCCTGTAGCTTCATTACCATTGCTCTTTGGAGTTGTAGTTTCTGAAGACTCAGAACTCTCTTCTGATTCATCAGCACCTTCTGTAGGCTTTACATCAATAACTTTCACATGAAGTACCAAGTCCGAGTCATCATCCTTGATTGACGTTTCATTGACTGTCACTACATGACCATCGATCACCTAGAAAGGACGTATGTGTGATTTTAAAGTAAGATTAAAAAGTACTATAAATGTTAGAACTGTTTGGGGATTTTACATATTCTGCGATATACAATCCTTAGACATTCCAGACTCTCACCTGAATACCAGACATAACAGAATTAAAACAAAAATTACCTTTGTTGTTGATGTTGTGTTGCCCTTATTCCAATCGAAGTTACTGAATGAATCGCCAATCTGAGTCCTTAGTCGTGATACTAGGCCTGTGAGGGATGCACAATATTGTTTTAATAAATAAAAGACCATATTTATATTAAATATTATTCATCTTTTGAGAAATGATAGAACGTATTTGAATAATCTTATTGCATAGTATGGCAGTGTCACAGATATCTTAATTTAATGGAGACTTTAGAAACTATTTTTTTGCCTTATGGCGTGACTGACAAATGCCAGAAGTTACACTGTCAATGCCAACAGCTCTATTAGATTCAATATGTGAAAGGGAACCGATGGAGTTGCTTTACATTTCTTGATTTGTGCTGTGGTCTTATGGTAATGAACTAATCTGCAGTGATTTCAACACAACCATAACCTCAATTTACTGTTGCTAGGCAGAATGAAATATGCATCCCCAGAGTGCAATTTCAGCGGATATCAAAGGAAGGTGGTTTAATACATTGGGACACAAACCTTTGATTCTTGTGATCAAATCAAAGTCAGGGAAGAAGCCATAAAAATTTGGTACATATGCAAATCCTGGATTAGCAGGGACAGCTATTGCAGGTACAGAAGGCAGAGGAATGTCATCTGGATCATCCTCTACTGTTTCAACGTCACGTTCACCTGAAAAAACAGACAACAGTGCAAAGTGAACACTAGTTTAAATGTTACAGCATTAGTCTTGTAAAAACTCTGGTCAATTTCTACCAGACCACAAGGCGCAGTAGCCCGGATGACATCCAACTTCGATTTTAAATTCATCCAAAATATTTTATTACAGACGCTAAATGTTACATCTCTTCAGAAATAACTGTATGAAACAAACAGACTAACAGACATGACCTTCCCATTATGTGTGTGGTTACCTTACAGAAACTAAATACAAATTGTACCGAACAGCGATGAAGGATAATAAGTTTTGGATTCAATTGCTGTATTCCTTAGAAATGAGTGGAATCGGATCACATGCCCCACATCCTTGGAAAAGTTCCTTTAACATGCAATTCTTAAAAATAATATAACTGTGATGTCTCTTCAATTTTAGTATCTTAAACGTTAATAATTATATCGTTAGGTTAGCATGTGTGCATGTGCAATAAGAATGGGACAAGGTACTGACTAGTTCTTCAAACATCCTCTGTTGTTACCACATCGTGAATCAGCGCTGTTCTAATAGACGTTTTACCTTCAAAAGAACTGACGTGTCGCTGGTTCACCTTGGTTGCTCAATATCTGCGCAAATATCTGCAGCAGGATACTTAAAAACTGTACGCGTGTTGTGCTTAGCTAATGTATGCTGTTCTGCAAGTAGATGGAAATTCTATGTAGATGTACTTTGAATAGGGTGACGCATATTTGTTTACTGGGTAATAAGCACACTGTTACTCTTAACAGAGTTCCACTGTTTATTAAATTCAACTATTTCACTCTGTTGTAAATTTCCATTGCTTTTAGCTTTGATGATTTCGTAATACGACTGGTCTGTTTCGGGTGTGTTTGTACCCTACAATCTCTGGCGAATAGGAAAAATTGTGAGGTGAAATAGCATCTCTGAATTTATCGTTGATCAGACAAACACATTCGACCACAATAACCAATTCCGTAAAGTTCTTCCACCCGTTGTCTGTACATGATAGACCTGTAGTTTCTTCGCACAGCACGCGATTAGTTCTGGTTTTAAAGAAAACAATATGTGTCTCATCTGCAGTACCATTCTTCCTTGCACCTAGAATATTCTCTTCGACTTTTTTTTATGTACGAAGATGAAAGACAGGAGGGATGGCTACCAAGGGTTAACAAACCGATAACATGCACATCAGAACTTTTTGGAGCACCTCCTGCCATTCTGTTGTAACACACCGCGTCTACACCAATTAAACTTAATAACAAACGGTAGTTCAAGTAACGTCGTTCAGCGCTGTGCCGGATTCATAAACACTGAGTGTTCCAACATACACTATTACGTAAGGTCGGAATATACCACCCCCACATACACAGTAAACGACACGACCAGGACATGTGTCCATGAAAAGCATCGACTTACTTACAAAGAAATTTGTGGAACCAAATGATATAAAGTGGCGAGAGCTCGCAGACTACCCTTTAACGTGTATAATTGTCATCAAACACACACAATTGAGTAATGATATATACCTGTGACGAAAGTGAGAATGAAACCATATAACCCAAAGTAAGCCACTCCTACGTTTACGTAATATTATCAAATTTTCGATTATATTTCTAGCACACTTCCAATGGCGTTGTTTTACTAGCAAATGTATGCACACGTCGCAACTTGACAGACAGTACTGTTGGCACGTGCATTCGTGAAGTTACAACTAATGTTACTTGACGTCAATAAATGCCGTAATTCAAGCGACGATGGTCCACGGACTAAGGTGGAATGATGTGGTATGGTGACACCATTACTCAATAATGCTCTGGGCATGCGCATCATTACCCTAACCTAGCCCAACCCAATCTGACCACAATTAGGCTCTTCGCTACTGCCATCCGCCTGTGCCCATTTATTAATTACAAAATTGTTGGGAGAAAATTAATTGTAGTATTTACGGGCATTTCTACTCTCGACGTCAACGTACTTCATCGATGTATGCGATATATTATGTTACTGAATTTTGTTAGAAATGCCAAGAGTTTATGTTTAGCAAGAATTGCTAAATGTGGCTTATCAAACGCCGTATGCATTATGTTGGCGTTGAAACACGAAGACGGTCACTGAACTGTCAGCAGAACGTGCGTCATAAGACATTAATGCGGGCTACAACACCGTCAATGTGGGAGATTAGGCAGTAGGACTTCCCGACCACAAACCACACACGTTTTAGTATGACACCAGACCTACATGATGTCTCTTATGAATGTTATTCGTTTCATGAAACATGTTTCTCAACAGATGTCAATGAACACGGTAACTACTGAAATGTTTATAATTAAATATTGTGAAACACATACACAGTGCGTCTTCTACGTATTAGAGATCCCTGGAAACACTAATTTGCTGCAGAAACTTCATACATTTGATGGGCATTATCAATGCTTTTCTGTTTAACATAGTCTAATAACATGTTTTACGGGATGCATCCTGTTATGTGTTTATCGTTAGGTTGATAGTCAGTCTATACAACAATTTTTGATTATGACTTCAATGTTTATTAAGAACCTACTCCATGTTTCGACCTATTAGATACGACTGCTAATTTGTATACCCATTTTCTGTTGTTGACTTCGCCGTGTAATGGACTGTCTTAATGCAGCTTGGCTACTTTAGTAGTACTTTGTAGTTACCAGTGAAGTCAGCACCAAAAATTATGCTAATGTTGTAACAAAGGCTAAATTTCGTTTTGCACTTTTGGAAACCCAGTCCTCTAGCAAGGAAACTCTTTGCTGCAATTCTATAGACACAGAAACTTTGAAACGAGAGAAGTCTTTACATACTGTGGTACAATGAAAGCTTAATATGTTAACCAATTATATTTAACATCTTGCAACAAACCAACATAACCTTTAATTGTAATACGAGGTTTACTTCTCTTCTGAAGATCGAGACAGCAGCTTCCTTCGAACTTAACTACACGGTCTCATCCAGAATCTTATGGATGTCTACAAGTCACTTCTGAGCTCACTCATAATGCATGCTAAAAGGGGCAATGGACATAGGGAATTTAAAAGTTTAAAATCTGAAATAACTATTCTGCAATTTTCGAAATACTTCACCTTGTTCGTGGTAAGTTAACAGAGTTTCAATGATAAAATATTATTTTAGCAAACAGCCACAATGGAAAAACAGGCCTACACCATGAATGGGTGAACGAAAATCCCTACTCGTAACTCGGCGTTTTGTATAGGCGGCGTTATTATGACCGGAGGCTAAATTAATGACTACTTAAAAAGAAATAACATTTTCACATTCTCCCCCCTTTCCACCATTTCCGAAACATGATCGTTTGTCACAGTCCCATTATGTTGACGAAACTGAACGACGTATCCGGGAATAGCCAAAAGGAAGCGGAAATTCTCGCACGTTATCGCCAGTGCACATGTGTCGCAAATAATGAATTTCCGAGCATATCCGCAAAAGTTCTCTACTGACTAATGAATTATTCGTTTTGGAATACGCAGGGAAACAAAATCAGACACTAAGGATAATTCGCCTAACCAAATGCTTGGAATAGATTCTTCCTTAAAAAGCTAACGATAAGATCCCCAAGTTTTATTGAACCTGGGCGTTCAATAACGTGATCGCAAGAGCGAAACATTGGCCCCTCTCCGAAGTCACGCCTTTCCACCGCATTTTAATATTATCCTTCCATCCACGCCTAGGTCTTCCAAATGAACTATTCCCTTACGATTACGCTCGTCCTCATCCATTCATTTCCAGTATTAAACTACTCTTCATCTGTGTCGTGTTGCATCGAATCCTTTAACTTGGCTTTCCTCGTTGTTTATTTCAAGTTACGAAACCATATTCCACAGTAAGTCCAGCGTCTAGTATTTGCTAAACAAACATACAAATAGGCCAGACTGTAACATGTCCGAAATTACAACCCGTTACATAGTTATCAGAAAGCTCCGTAGCCTGGAACGACAGCTCAGTTACGTTTGAATCATTACACAGAAACGTGACCGGTTTCTCTCTCCACCCCCTGAATTGTCCATCCTCTCACTTTCACATATTTATCAATGCCTAGTTTAGTTCAAACTTCCCTGTTATACCTTACAATACAAGTGAGACGACATGCTGTTCGAGGTGAACAGATCTTAAATACTTTGTTTACCTAACTTGACATGGCCGTATGACCAACCCAGAATGAAGAATAACCAAACTTTCGCTCAAAAAGTCCTGACGTCGCTCCAAATTTAAAAGCTTTACATATAAAATGCCATCTTTGTATTGCAGAAATAAATAGAATAACATAAAACAAAAAAGTATCGATACGAGAAGTTTGAAACAAGCCTTTTGACATCGATATCCTATTTTGTGTGCCAAGGTGGTCTACCGGTTAGAACGCTGGCCTTGTAATCCTGGGGTCTCGGGTTCGATTCCCGGCGGTGCCCGAATTTATAACTTGTGTTGGGCAAGGCCGTGGTCTAGGCAACACGGAGTTTTCCTCCGGGGGCTTCCCCGGGTTCTCCGTGGCATCCCAACAATTACTCCATTCACACACAGAAGAAGGCAATGGCAAACCACTTCTGGATCATCTGCCAAGAACGTATATGAACAGGTCCCAGTCCGAGAAAAGGATGGAAGGATCCTGTTCATATGGACCTGTCGTCAGACAGAACACTAAATAAAATAAAATCCTATTTTAAATGTGAAGAGTGAGCCGAAATTATAGTGACTTAATTTAATACGTGACTGACAGCTTTCCACAATTTTGACTTTCCAACTGAGAACCATAATTAATATTTACTTTCTAATTATGGGGAGGTGTATTGTTTATTTTGGCATACACTACAATTTGACACGGCTCAGTGGAGAGACTTATTGTTTGTAATACGTATGAATACTAGGTTCATTAATTCAGTGCACATCCTTATTTTGCGGAAATGATGTAACAAACACCGACAACGAAATGAAGGTCGGCTTGCCGACAAGTGGAGTGTAGTGATGTGTGGCATTCTAAAAAACGAGATTTCGAAAACCACCCATGAATTTCATATCTGTCCGCATATAAAAGGGCCTAAATTATGGGTCTGATTTCGATAATTCATGGGATAATATGTGAAGATCTACATTTTTAGGAAAACTGATTTAGCCTCTTTCACAAATATTAAGTGTAATTCACTTCAATTTATTAAAAGGGCTTAAATGAACTTATATTCCTTGACAGGCTTTTACAAACTTTCATATACGATTCGTCTATTATAGCAGTACTTACGTAATTTAATTTGAAGACCTCTTTATTAAAGGGCATAATGAACTATGACTTTTATTCAACGTGATCTTACGCATTTCTGAGTCTCTTCGGTTGCACTGCTTTCGACAACAATCTAAGTTGTGTAACTTACAAGTTGGCTGATTATTAACAATTATCGAGATTGCTGTAATCCTAACGCTAATGACGCCATTAGTCACCTCAGATCTCTTTCGATATTGCATGAACTTCGCATTTAATAAGCCTACTAATCTGTCAAAACTTATAGGTGTAAAAACACTCTGGGCTTTGGAATTTTGTGGAGAATCATTCTGCGAGATTCTTTTTACCTCTTTTCGACATTCGGTAGGACTCCTTGGATGAGGGATCGGCCCGTCGCAAGGCCTCTACTTGTATACAGGACAGTACAACACAACACAGAAAGACGAAGCCTTAAGCGGGATTCAAACCCACAATCCCACTGTTCCAGTTGCCGAAACTCACAAGTAGAACTGTAGAATTATATGGGAAATGATTACACAGCCTACAATTTCGGAAGAAGACGGTCATGGACCGTTTGAAGGCACTGTTACCCCTACAGACAGTGTAGAAAACCACGAAATGTCCATTCAAGTTTGCAGGTTTCACTGACGAATACAAAAGAGTCCAAATCACAACACATCAGCGTCTGGTTGAATTACGTTGGTACAGACCCAATGATCTTTCAATAGGCCTATTCGTATCGTTGTTGATGACGTAAATAGTTTGATTATTCTACCACTTAGCATTCGAAGGTTCATTCCCGCTCATCTGATCGTGCCTAAACAACTACATCACTGTACCATCACGTCAGTAGCGTCTTAATTGTGCAAGTCACCTGCTAACTCCAAGGGTGTATGTCGGACGTTACGGGAGACATAACAATGCATTTTAAAATTAGCCTTCCACAAAATTTGAAATTAATACATTAGTTGCAACAAAAAAAATACTAAACGTCCATTATAGAACTCTGGTTACTAGTTCTTCTTTCGTATTTCAAAAGTGTGGGACCCGACATCCAGACGGCATGTGGTTTCATGGTGTTAAACACGTGACAAAGATTCATAACCATCCTTGCATTCCCCACCTGATCTCAGAGCTAATTAAGTCATCTGTCATCCATAACTCAATGTTTCTTATGTATTTATCAATTAACGACGTTAGAATTTACAGCTGAAAAACAGCAAAATTTGCATTAACCGGGCGAGTCAATTCCAGATAGGAAGTTTTCTAAACGTTAAAATTATAACAATTTACGTGTATTTTTTTATCAAGAGCCTCGCTAATTAATCTCACCCAGGGCCTCGTGATTGGATCCGCCCCAATGATTAAAACTTTGTACCAAACTTCATTACGTCTTCAAAATATTAACATGATAACAGTGCGAATTTAAGGCGACGTTTTCAAAATATGCTGACTGACCAGCTTAGACGGGGTTAAGACGCAGCCCGCAGTACTTGCTGTTCCTGAACACAGACCAATGATCAAAAACATTGAATGACGACGACCAAGGCGTACACCTCGTCAGCGTAAACCGTAAATAGAGAAAGGAGAATGTCAAGACAGTGGAATTTATTTTCAAGGCGATGAGGTTCAAGGGTAATTTTATTGGAACGATGACAGACTCTTTAGCTGCAATGATAATTTTTTTAATCCCGCTGGGAAGGTGCCATGTTTCATTTGCATACAATTCATCATTTGTTACAAAAAGCACAGCTGGTTAATAACATGCAGCTGTAGGATATAATCTGAGATAACATTCCCTGGCAGGTTTCAGTGTGGCAGAAATGAGTCAAGCGAGTGTCTTCATCTAGTACACGGTTCAGATCAAAGTAGACAGTAAAATGTTAAGGATAGCTATTATTAACAAAAACCAATGTTGCATAATAAATAAAATCCTTCTAAACGTGATTTTCCAACATATTTTTGACGTAAATACGTCTATACGGAAGGGTCATTCCGCAAAAAAGTGTAACGAAAATGTGTAAGATCCGTAGCAACAAATCGACAACAATGGTTAGCTTGCGTGCATTGTTATGTTACTTAGGAAACGTCATCTGTTTACTCGCCATTGTTGTTATATTACTGTGTAACGAAAATGTGTAAGATCGGTATCAACAAATCGACAACAATGGTTAGCTTGCGTGCATTGTTATGTTACTTAGGAAACGTCATCTGTTTACTCGCCATTGTTGTGTTATATTACTGCCGTCAACAATCCGCTTTCGTAACAAGATGGATGACATTGAAGATAACATTACATTACATTACATTACAGAGACGTAAATATAAATTAAATAGAGAGACGTATTTACGTCAAATACTCCGGAACCGTGGTTCCACTGTCAATTTTAGTTACAGCCTCAGTATTAGCACAGTTAAACGTTCACCAACTTAAAATTAATAAGTAAATTAAGTAAATAAATGTTTCTTAGGTAATTATTGTCGATTTGTTGATAAACAGATGAAGTTTCCTAGGTATCCATCTTACACATTTTCGTCACACTTTTTTACGGAATGACTACTAGTACTACCACTATGGCGTGACACTGACCCTAAAATATAGACGTATTTACGCCAAAAAGCATCGAACACCTCTGTCGGGATTGTCAGCGTCTGGGCAGTGATTCAAACCAAGGACTTCCTGAATACGGAGGCACGCCAAAACCACTCAGACTCTATATACCTTTCAGAAAACTCAGATTTTTCGTAACATTAATATTAAACACGCCTGTGTTTCTTCCAGTAGCATATTATAATTAATACGACATTAAATGAACAGCAAAGTATTACACATAATCTCGAAACCATGTTGGAAAATTTCTAAGGCGTTTGAAATTGAATTACATCACGCGTTATAAGAACGAATGGTTATTCAGCTTTGCTGTAAGAACTGCTTACTTAGCGCAGCGTCAGACTGACGTGAATAGAAATGGGTAATGAGAGAAGAAGCCGTGATTTATTTTACTATACTATGAATCAAAAGAAGCAGGATTCAAAGAAATTCACTTTGAATAAACTGCTCCCAGCCGGAATTCGAACAAATTCCTTCCAATTGCGTTTCGTGATGTTAGTACCGCAAATTTTAAATTGTTTCCTACATTCCACCGAAAACAGAGTGGATATAAAATTGAAAACTATGCAAATTTTTCTTCAGCGTGGTTATCAACAACTACTAACATGCATTTACTCCGTTCTGTACTTACGTGGAAAGCAATCCACAAGGGCGATCGCCAGAAGCAGGAAAACAGCACACTTCATGCCCTTCATATTGCTTACAATTACCAGCACACTTCAAGCAGACACAGAACCGTCTCTAACACTTGCCCTCGAAGAGTGAAACTGTTCCCCACACAACGCTCAATATAAACCTTGGATCCTTCACAACTCTTTCTCAAACCGCTGTCGGTACGCTACGTCATCAACCAATCACAACACCAAAAGCTAATGACGACATATGATGTTAACCAATGGAACAACAAAGAATTCCCGTGACTCAAAAAACACATCGAAACATTTTCTAAGAAGTTTTGTTGTCTGGTCTTATGGCTATGACTAAAATATTATAATTACCGTATTTATACACTTTATCACGTGACTACTTGACAATCAAAGTAGCTATGTTATTATTGGCTGAGGTACGTAGAATCGAGATGACGTTATGTCCGACACACGGTTATGTTTAGAGTTGTGGTTTAGTCCATATAGGGTCCAGCCATACTCGTTTCATCTCACACGACACACGAGGAATTGTATCTTCCGAATGTGAGCGCAGGTTTTCATTGCGATAGACACAAAACAAGTACAGTTTAAGAAATAAACGATTCGGTTTAAGACTTGTAGCCATGTTTTCGTACAGCATTGAATTGTAGGTGTGTCAATAAACATAGACATTCATGGATATTGTTCTGAAGTGCAAATCTTTTAAAAGTTTAAACTTTCAACGGGTCGTTGATGAAAACTAGTGGTATATTATTACCGGCACTCTGATTTGTTAATCCCAAGCAGTCCTCTACTATTTACTAGTACCACCATATTTTTTTTAAACTTCTTAACTAACGTAACGATTACTGTATTTTACCTGAGAAATATCCCCATAAATTTCCATTTAATTAACATATTCAGAAGGAAACTTCATTTCTCTGAGACCTGCACATCACGATATTAATGATATTTTATAAAAGTAGTTCGAACTCCGAGTGGTACCAACTGTCCTGACTTGAAGTCTCTCCATACAAATGACGATATAATACCCTATACAAAAGTTACAACTCTTTACTTCGTATCATCATCTACTCACATCAAAAATATCGGCCTTTCATCTTCAGACACATCTCTTCACTCATGCAGATGTTTCACTAACAGATCACATGACTAGACATAATTACTTGGCTATTACCACTCAGGTATTAGACTGTTCCAGGTACGGTAATTGTTCATGTACCGAAACAACACCACGTGGAGACTTAGAGGGCAGGTACCTTCCCACGCATTCTCAACCTTGGTACTAGATGGAGGTGAGAGGTCATCTTCACGCTCCAGCCGCTTTAACCCTTTTTCGTAATTCTGCTTTAGATTAATTTATTTATAATGATCCTGTAACGCTTTCCATGTTGGTCTTCATTTAAAGAAACTTTTTTATGCTGATATATTTCCATAGATGCATGTAATTCCTAGCGTACTGTTGAAAATACGTAAGTGTATGGGAATATGGGACAGAATTCTTTAACAGGTCTTCTCTGCACAGTAGCTATCAGGTCTCTCTTCGCCACCCCTCAATCACACATGCAGGAAACTTGTAAGTTCGTTTCATGTAAAAGAATGGCAGCTTTTTCTCTTCTATAATAGCTCATTGTAAATAATGTGATTATTTAATACGTCTCGATGAACACATTTAGTTTATAACAACAATAATTCTAATAAGCCACCCGAGGATATAGCAGCAATATTAGGATGATACGATTATGAGATCCGATGTTGCGGTCAAGAGGTTAGCACCCCTTGGCTTGTATTAGGGAGGTCCCGGAATAAAAAGGTAACCATTATTGTCGATTTGTTGACAGAT